TGGACTTAATTCATAATCGAATCATAAAATGAATCATAATCAGAACCTAATCTGTCAAATTTTTGATTTGGACTTAATGGACATAAATTTTGAACAAATGATTAAATCAATTCTAATAAACCGTTCAAAATCTAGTTTTTTGTATTGTTAATCAGATTTTAGTTTAGGTTTTATTTGTTTTGATCGTTTTAGATTTAGGTATAGGTTTAGATTGATTTTTAGTCGATTTAGGCTTGAGTTTTGATTGGACTTCTCACCGGAGAAGGTGACTGGACTTTACTCCGGTCAACCTCAATCCGCATGAGTTGTCCGGTTTATTTCTTTGACTTAGTTTTTTTTTATCTTTTGACCAGATTTCTAATCCGGGTAGATTTTTTTCTTTCCTTAGTTTGTTTTTTTGGTTTTGTTTTAGTTTAGTATTTTTTTAGAAATTTTTTTTAGGTTAAATTTTTTTTAGATATTTTTTTTCAGGTAATTTTTTTAGGTTAATTTTTTTTTCTTTTATAATCCTTTTTAGTTAATTTTTTTAGATTTTTTCTTATTTTAGAATTTTTTTAGTATAGTTTTGTTTTATTTTGATTTTCTTAGTTAAATTTTTTTTAGTCTTTTAATTTTTTTTTTAAGTTTTTCAATTTTTTAGAAATATTTTGTTTTGATTTTTGGATATGAGCATTATATTTTGTCTTAATCTGTGTCTAACATGTTCTGATTTTTACAGGTTAAAATGGCTGAACAACATAATCAATCTGACGAGGAATTTCATATTCCTTCCATCAGATATGATAACCTAAACAACCCGAACCAGCCTACAAACAACCCAATACCAGAAGAATCCCTACTACCCCAATCTTTCTATCTTGAAATCAAACCAAACAACCATTCTTTCAACTTTGATATGCCCTCCGATTACAAGATTATACCAGAAATACTTCGTGGACACCCTATTTCTTATGCCCTTTCAACCAATATTTGTGTCTTGATGATATACCTGCAACAATTTTGGAACACACTAACCCTTGCTAAAGATGACGATATCTATTTTTTCGAAGGAAACGTAGACGAATACACAAGTCGTTTGACCTTGAAACGACTCCGAACAATTCTGCGTCTACCGGGACCAACCTCGACAGGTTTTGGGATTCACAAAGAAACCCGAGATTATCATTTGGAGTATAAGTATTTTCTTAAAGCGAAGCGCCTCCCGATTAGCCAAGTATGAACCAGACATCCCGTTGTCTCCATCAAATAAATTGATGCCAATAAACTCCTTAGAGTTTGATATCCTGTATTCACTGTTACAAGACAAGATGGAAAGGTCTGGGTATTTAGTGAAGCTAATTTCTCTAATTTGTATTTAGAAGACCTGGAGCACATGTATCACGAACTACGAAATATGACTGTCAGAAGAGAAGGAGCAGTTGTTGCTCTTGAAGCGATCAAAAGATTTATGCGGAGTCATGTCAAAGTATCAATGGTTTTTGATATCCAAATGGGTGTTGAAGACAATCAGAGGATCATTAATTTGAAAAGACCAGACCAAGAGCTTGAAGATATTGAAGGCTATCATCTGTATATCATTCTTGAAGAACCAGAGTTTGGTGTGGTGTATAGTGCTGAAGGTCAGATAAAGAAGTTTATGAGATTCAGTGAGCTGAATAAATACTGTGATGGTACTATAAGGATGGTGCATTGGGCGCTTGAGACGATCAAAGCTGACAACGATAAAACCACAGAACCGGAGAGAATGAGTCCGAAAGAAAGGTATCTACTGATTAATGCTCTCGTGCATTAAGGAGGCTCGAGACGCTACTTGGGCTTAGAAAGTCACATTCACAATGTCTCGAACTTGAATCCAAAGGGGGAGATTGTTGGGTTCAAGATTGTGCTTAAAAGATTGTATTCAAGTTTTCCCATCTTGTAATTGTTTTGTAATAGTTAGTCTTGTTAATTTCCTAGTATAAATAGTTTTTTTGACTGATTAATTGTAATTAGTTCATGTTAATCACTCTGTAATTTTCTCTCAAGTAATATCATTCTCGAGATTGGTGAAAATCTCTCTCTACTCTCAATTTGTGTTCTTGAAGGATTAATCTGATTTGTATGATAGTTGGGATTAACAATATTCAATACTGATTCATTTTAAAAGTGTTGATGAGACGATTATAACTATATAATTTATAAAAAAAAATATTTCATAATAATTTTAGTTCATATACGATTATTTATTTTAATATGATAAAAATGTAAAATAAAAAATTGATATAGTAAGTCGTATGAAACAAATTATATGACATATAAATTGTAATTTTAAAAGTAAGCAAATATTTGATCTTTAATATTATCTTGGGATGTGGAATTTTAAAATTATGGGTTCTACAGCTTAAAATTTATAAATTAAAGGTGTAAAATAGAAATAACAAAATAAAGAATATAAAACAAATTAAATACGATAACTATAAGGTATAAAATAAAAATTATAAAAATAATTCACTACATATTTATGTTGTTTAATAATATTAGATTAATCGAAAAATATTCAATATTGGGTTCATTCTGAAGGCATTGATGAGACGATTATAATGATATAATTTGTAAAAAGTGAAACGTATTTTTTTAATATATGATTATGTATGATAATATGATAATGGTGTAAAATGAAAAAGATATAAAATAAATTAAATAACAACTATAAGAGTGTAAAGTGTAACTTAAAAATTAAAAATAATTTGATTTTAATATTATCTTTGAAACGTGGAATGGGTGTTTAGCTTCAAAACTTGTACCTGATGCATAAGGGGTAGTACCTCTTAATTTTCAACTTTTAACCGTTTAGCATTCTTAATCATTTTAACCACTTAACCATTATGTACTAGACCATTCAGCAATTGTCAACAACCTCTTCAACTCTTAACCGTTTAGCATGCTTATATATATATATATATATATATATATATATATATATATATATACTAGAACAAGACTCGTGCAATGCAACGAGATATATCTTGATTTTAGTGTTTCATTAGACAATATCTATGTCGATATAATATGTTTTTATGTGGTTTTGCGAAAACAACAATGTTTATAGATTTGAAGATATCATAAAACTTTGAAAAGAAAATATCGATATTAGTATTAAATTAACTATTTAAAACTTCTTGTTTTTTTATTAGTTTTAATTCTTTTTTTATTAGTTTTAATTCATTTTTTTATTATAATTTAAATGAGGTTTAATAACAAAGTAATTTATTTTAATTTAATAGTATAATTTTTTATAAAGATAATAATTAAGTACTCTGTTAGAACTTAATGATTATCCTAATTATTGTTCAAATTTTTTATATTTAAAAATGAGATATTTATCATGTATTTGATTATGTTTATCTGCAGTTTGTTACATGAAATCAAACATAAAGCTTTAATAAGTTGTACTTACGCATAATTTATTTGTAGTCTTAAATTTTTAGTAATATGCATTAATAAATAGTAATTCATGCATAAAAAATAGTTTTTAAGACTTTTTGTCAAATGCTTTATAATATAGTGTATATATATATATATATAGTATAGATAGAATAAATATTGATATATGAAAATGCGAACACTTTTTTACTATAGATAAACACTTGTGATGCTATTATTCCATTATATATGATATACATGTGATGTTAAATCAGATATGCAGACGACTTTTGACGCGATCTAGGTTGCGGGCCAAGTCGTCCTTACACCATTAAGCCCCCTCATATGTATTATCACATGTGAAAAGGATGTTCTTGATGCCATACTATAATACATCAAGACTATCACATGTGATACTAAATCATAGACACAAACGATCTTTGATGCGAGTTAAATCGCAGGACACATCGTCCGCACACCACTAGGTCCTCTAACATGTATTATCACATATAATAAGAATGTTCTCGCGTTCTTGTAAAATAGAGGTGTTCTTGTTTGATCGTTTGAATCTCCACCTATATATATATATATATATATATATATAATTAAAGCTTGTACATCTATTTATTAACCATCAAACTTGTTTCAATACTAAATAAATAGGAATGTATTAGACAAAAGATAATAATATTACATAATTTAATAATAATATTTAATTATTGATGTGTTTACAAGAATAAAACATTCTATCCAAGGTTGTACCTAAAACTCCCAAATTTTCATTTACTTTTCATTTATTTTTGTTTATCTATTTATATCATCATAAATAAAAAGTTTAACAAATTCATGTATATGAGATAAGATAAGTAAAAGTTTGTAAAGGTAGATAAATGTCTGTATTTTTGTATCAGTCATTATATGAAGGTACATGAAGATCAACATTTTTATTTAGCCGTTATATACAAAAAATAACTCATTCAAATGCTCATAAATTTTCTCACATTCTTACAAAAATGAGTTGCTTTTACATGATCACAACTCTGGAAATGTGAACCCTTAGGGATACTTCACATGTTCAAACTTATGTTTACTTCTCAGTAGTCAACAATTTGTATTTAGTAAAGATTATTGACAGTTTCCGTGTCTGTTAATTTTAAACTCTTATATGATTAATAAGGTATGAATAAATTGATCAAAACACAATATAACTTATACAATGTGGAATTTCACCTTTCAATCTAAGATTAATACCATAATTATTGAAAAAATAATTTATCAAAATCCATAAACTTTAAGTAATAATTATAACTAAGAAAAAATAAAATCAAAATCAAAATGGTTAAATAAGAGCATTGAAAATGACACCATTAAATTATGATAATGATTATAATAATAAATATTTGAAATCAAGGATGAAATTTAAAAAATACACAAAAAAAAACTGCTTAAATTATATGGATAGGAGTATCTTTTTAGCCTTTAACAGTTAGTAGCATTAACATCAACACACACACACTCTCTCTCTCTTAATTTTTTCTTGGGTTTTTGAAAAAATTGAATCTTTTTCTAAAAAGATTGGTACTTTGGTTTCTTCTGAATGTATGATGAAAGATCCTGAAGCTGGGTTTTCTGGAATGGAATCTGTGTTCTCAGGTTGGTATTCTTCCACCTTTTTTTGCAATTTAATGCCTCTTCTTTGCTGCTACTGCATGATTGCCATTAAACCCTCCCTCTTCTTCATTCTTTGCTGTTTACTTGTTCTATCTGCTGCTTTCTCTTGATTTTCAAGATTCTTGTGTTTAATTCTTGAAAATGTGGGTTCTAAATAACATTCAGGTTGATTTTTCTTTTATTATCTTTTTCTGTGCAATTAATGCCTGTTATCTGCTGCTGATGATTGTCTGAAAGCAGTGCTATAAAACTTCCTTCTTTGCTGTTTTGCTTCTGATATTTTCTGTTTTCCTTTTCCTTCTCATTTTCAAGCTTTTTTCTTGTTTAATTCTTTGAAATGTAGGTTTAGAATCGCTTATTTGGTTGCTTTTTTCTTGTGGGATTCTGGTATTTTGTGGGTTAATGATTGTGGATAGACTTTACTTTCACCTCCTAGGGTTCCTCCATTAACTACTCCTTCAGTTTCCATACACATTTACACCTTTTGATTTCTAACCTAGGATTCTCAAAAAACTAAAATTTGTGTAGATTTCTTTTTACCAAGTAATTTATCACCAAAAGCTTAGAATTTTTGTATTGTTTGATGTTCAACTTTAATGGGGTTGTTAAGTTTTTCTTATCAAAAGATTAGGATTCAGAACAAGAGAAGTATCTGTTTGACATGAAAAAGTTAAAATGTATATCTTCTGAAACAAAGGGAGTACACCAAGTATGCAATTCATTGCTTCATCACTTGAAAATTCCGTACAACATGTAACTTGAGTTAATTGGATGCCTTAAATAGCGTTCGATAATGATAAAATAAGGAAATCTTGTTGGACCCTGAAGGGCATAATCAAGAATTACACCTTAAATACCGTTTGGTTGATTCTTATGTAGCATTTCTTTTCATGTAATAAGAATTATATGTTGCCAACTTGGCATCCACGTCATCAGTAACTAGAAGATCTACTGGTTGGTCAAAATGGGCTCGAAATGTGAAAGACTTGAATGTTTGTTATACTAATTGAGAAGCAAAATTCATGGTTACACTAAATAGGAACTAAGACAATTTCGTTGCATTTGGGAAGCCAAAATTATTAGCTTAAACAATTGACAACCGTAAAAATGGTAATAATCGCTGATTTGGCGTGAAGTAAATATGTTATCCAACATATTGGTTTGTATTCACATTTACTTTGAGATAATTATCCTCATGTTTCTTCCTTTCCCATCAATACTTAAAGTTTTCTAGATCAGGATGAAACAAAATAGTCCTACACTTCAAGAAAGAACACCCTTTGATCTTTTAGGTCAAACCTGCTATTTCTTACATTCATTTCTAGCATTACTATGATACATCTAACACCAACATTTTCCAAGATGAGTGTCTGTTATAAAGGTTTATTTGCTTATCGATTTTGCTGTTTTGATTTTTTAAAGAATTTATGTACATTTTTACTTGAATAATAGTTTGTTTGACCTGAAAAGTCAAAGTGTGTGTCCTACTATATACAAGTGGTATATCAATAATGCTAGTAGATCAAAATAGTGGATATGCCCCTTTGTTTTTTATTACGGTTTCTTTCCTTTTTCTCCATTTCTTTGAATTCTTTCTTGCACATTTTATTTAGGAGCACAATTCATTTTCGAGTTGATATTTTCCTTTTGCGGGACTCATTATATCGTTCAGATGCAATGGGAGGTCCTGCTAAAAGGAGAAACAAAGAGGACCCACAAACTAGTGTAAAAGATCGAACCTTTAGTGTTTTTCTTACGTGTTAATTTTCTGTTTGACAGGATTTGTGCTTGACCCTGAGAAATGTAATCAACTGAGCTTGGAAGAGAAGAGAAAACTAGTTCACCGAATAGCTCATTGGTCTGAAGACGCCCCAAAGATTCTTAGTTCATTGACTCGTAAAGAGCTTCTTGAAATCATATGTGCCGAAATGGGTAAAGAGAGAAAGTATAGTGGATTCACAAAGCTTAGAATGATAGAACACCTTCTTAAACTAGTCTGCAAAAACACCAAGAGAACAACCACCGAAAACTTGCTAGATTTTTCACCATCCAAGAAGCAAAAACATGAGGCCCCGCTTCAACTACCTAGTACCACTTTTGAGAATTCTAGAAAAGATCAGACAAAAACTCGGGTTTGCCAGAATCTAGCATGTAAAGCAACTATGTGGCCCGAGGATGCTTTTTGCAAGAGATGTTCTTGTTGTATTTGTCATCAGTTTGACGATAATAAGGATCCTAGTTTATGGTTAACGTGTGATTGGGATTTGGATTCTGGTAACGAAGGTGATGAGCCGTGTGGAATGTCATGCCATTTGAAGTGTGCGGTTAACCATGACAGGGCTGGCATATCAACCACTGGTACCTACCCAAAGCTGGATGGTGGTTTTTATTGCGTTTCTTGTGGAAAGTCAAATGGATTAATGAGGTATGTGCTCTTCGTTGATATCATCTTTGCATTTTCAGGTTTGGTTGTTTGAACTTGGACTTCACATGTAACATGAAGTTTAGGGGATGCTTCGTTTGGGGGATGGGGAATGACAGATTTCATTAATGGTATCTGGTTTGATGCTATGGTGATCATTGCCAAATATCGGGTAATGAAACATTCCTCAACAAATTGGGGGAATGAAACCATTTCATTCCCATTTTCATTCCATGAAACAAACCAAACGCCCCCTTATGTTCTTCGTGTTTCAAAGAGCTCCATGCTAAGTTCAAGACTGTTAGTTTCCAAATTCATAATTAGTATAGATTTTGTTACCAACTCAATGTGCTTTTTATTTGCAAGATTTGTTACAAATAGGAAGGTGGTTTTCGGTACTTTCTTGAAGATGTATAGAATTTATATCGGTTTTAAAGATGAGAAATCTGTTCATTTGATCCGAAAAGTTGAAGTATTTATATCCTAATTCCTAAGCCTTGGAAGTTGATTAGTGTTTGTGCATCTTGGTCATCCTTAATGATAAATTTATGCTCTTCATGTTCTAAAAGGATTTACACACTTAGAGGTCAAAGTTGTTACTTTCCAGATTCATAGTTGGTATGAATTTTGTTGCCAATTCGAATTCGTGCTTTTCGTTTATAACCTTTACTATAAATACCACATTTCTTTTTTCAGTTTTCAAGATAAAAATCAATCTGTTTCACCTCAAAAGTCAAGTTCTGTTTTTCAGGACCTGGAGAAAGCAGCTGCTGTTTGCTAACGAAGCTAGAAGAGTTGATGCATTGTGTCTCCGAGTTTCCCTTAGCCACAAGATTCTTGAAGGGACCATGAAACATCAGAAGCTCTTAAAGATCGTTGAATCTGCAGCAAAAGTGCTTGAAAATGAAGTGGGACCAATTGGTTTAGCATCGGTGAAGATGGACCGTCGCCTAGTCAATCGGCTCACGTGTAGCACCGAGGTTCAGAAGCTCTGTACTTCCGCAATTGAAGCTTTTGATTCGTTGTGCTCCAATTCAAGCGTAAACCATTTCCAGATAAACAGAATTCCCAGTACGTATCTCTTTTATGTAACTAGACATGCAACAACTTCCGCTTTAGGATGTCTTGTTCATAGAACTTGTTAAGTCGCCTAACTTCTTCTCAACAACATATCATAACACCTTTAGGTAGAAATTTGGTCCTATAAATTTAGAAGTCTTATTTAAGTACTCTATTAAGACGTTTGGCCATGCTAAAAGACCCATTTCATTGTAGTGTATGTATAGGCGTCTCTATGTCGTGTTATTTCGTATGTTCTTCATTTTTTAGCTTGATTATGGTGGTTCTTTTGGCAGCATGTCGGATTTCATTTGAAGAAACTACTGCGACTTCAGTAACAATCGTCTTAGATTACGAATCCCATTTGTTTGAAGATTTCTTCGGATGCAGAATCTGGCACCGAAAATCAACTCTGAAAACATATCCAAAAGAAGCAACGTACATCGTCCTAAACCCGGAAAAGAGATTCAAGCTCACGAATCTTGATCCATCAACCGAGTATTCTTGCATGGTTTCGTTCTTCAGCAACAAAAAAGTCCTCGGATTCTGGGAGTCAAAATGGACGACAACCAAGAACACAGAAGTCAACGCGAACAACACACAGACGGATTCCACATCGGATTTTCCTTGTACCCCGTGCAAATCCGATGGTACAACGAAAGCGGGGCCTCGGGATGAACCTAATAAGAAGAACGAGTACGAGTATGCAGTGGGAGTGATCAGAAGTTTGGAGCACAATGGACACCTGAGTAAAGACTTTCGAGTGAAGTTTCTTACTTGGTTTAGCTTGAAAGCAACGATGCAGCAAAGACGGGTTGTGAACGTTTTTGTGGATGCGTTGATTGACGATCCCCCGAGTTTGGCTGAGCAGCTTCTTGATACGTTTTCTGATGAGATTTGCGGCCATTAGAACTCCCGAAATCGCGTAGCTGGGGATCGATTCTGAGTGTTTGTTTTTGAAGACGATTGATGTTTGTTTTTTGGCACTTGATTCAATTTGGATAAATGTATAGCTAAGCTAACTATGGGGAATCTATTCGTTTGTCTATTTAAGGATTCTATATTTTTAGTTATGAGATGGGTATCTATGTACCATTTTCACTTCTCTAGAGAAAAATATGTGTTTATAAATTCATTTATTTGAATATTTTATCTGTTAAAACATTGAAATGTGAAAGAAGATCAGTATATGTAACACATGAATCTTTAGTGAAGATGTCTACGTAGTGAGACGAAGATGGTGCTGGAGCAACCTTTTCTCATACAAAATGTATAACAATCTCATGTTTAGTGGGCAGAGAAGATCAGTATACTAACACTAAGGGGCCGTGTACCTAAACACTTACCCGGTAAACGTTTAACGGTAAAATTCAACTCTATCGCTTACTTATCAGGTAGATTTTAGTCTAGGAAAACAACAACATATATAAAAATTTACCCGGTAAGCGCTGACTGTGGTAAGAGTCGTCGCCATCACTTACCGCGTAAGACTCTCGGTTATTGTCTTCGCTCTTACCAGGTAAGATTTTTGGTCCTTGTCATACTCATTCGGTAAGAAATGTGACTTGGTAAGCGCTTACCCGAGTAAGAATTTTGTAAACGGCCCCTAACATTATTGTGGCTTTCTGGTTGGGATAATGTAATTCTAGTACATATTAGACTAATGTATTTAATTGCAATTAGTATAATGTAGAGGGTACTCCTATGTAATTAGTATCTCTATATATAGAGACCGACTGTGATTAGGTTACATACAAAATCAATACACAAAACTCTTGTGGTTTATTTTGGTATCAGAGCCAAGTTACCAAAACCCTATCAAAACCCTACCTGCCCTCTTGGTCACGCCACTATAAGGCTGATCGTCCGCTACTGTCGTTAATCTGACTGTTTGTTGTTGCCACCGTCGCTGGAATTTGCGGCCGCCACCGGTGGAATCATCTGCTATCACCGCCGCCACTAGAATCTACCGTCTGTCATCTGCTGCCGCTGAAACCCTAATTTTTGGATGTGCCGTTTGCCGCCGCTGGAACCCTAACTTTTGAATCTGCCGTCTGCTGGCCGCTGCTGCTGGAACCCTAATTGTTGAATATGTCGTCTGCTGTCCGCTGCCGCTGCCGCCGCTGCCGCCGCTGCCGCCGCTGGAGCCCTAATTTTCAGTCTTCTTTTCTTTTATGGTACATTACTACATCATGGCTCTAATAGCCTCTTTCACAATAGCGGAGAAACAATCTCACAATTCACACAAGTTTGCTTTTACCCTAACTCCTATAAACTATGGTTATTGGAAAACAATGGTTCAACTTTTTCTTGTCACAAATAACCTATTCAGATATATAGATGGATCAATACCATGTCCATCCAAACATCTACCATCAACCACAACCACCTCCGATCCAAAGGCTACCACTGATCCACAAGATAACCCTAATTATCTGATTTGGATTTCTAATGATGCTCACGTTCATATGTTGATTATCTCCACTATCTCCTAAGCCTCTTTTTGACATGTCCAAGGTAAAACTTCCTGTGATCTATGGTGTGATAACCAGATCCTGGTTATTACCTAAGGTATTTATTATGTGAATTAATTGTTTATGTGGATACATGCTTACATGAGATAAAAACGTGAGTATGTGTATTTATGCATAGGTATGATATTGATATGCATAATATGATATATATATATATATATATATATATGCATGACTTATGTACACAATTATACATGCATGAATTGGGTGTATGAATTTGTGAGTGTATATGCATGGGGTACGTATGCATGCATGTGGGGAAGGGGAGAGGAAGGCTGTGAATAGCCGACTTCTTCTTTAGGGAAGAGTATAAAAGGAGGACTAACCTCCATTTGCATTTTTCCTGCCAAATTTGAGAGAAGTGTGCGATTTAAGTTGACCGGATTATTCTTGATCGGATTACAAGATTTTCAAGTGTTTGGTTTTCAGAAGAAAATTCAAGGTGAGTAGTTTATATGCTTTATAATTTCTTCAAATGTATAATTGTTGAAATTAATCTTTCAACCGGTTTAAAGAACCAATCGTATGTGTATTGACCGGATTAGAATAAACCGGTCAAGGGCTGAGCGGTTTATATATAAACCGGTCAAGAGTTAAGCGGTTTAGTCTTAAACCGGACAAGGGTTGAGCGGATTAGACATTAAACCGGACATGTATTAACTGGTTTAAAGATAAATCGATCAATTGTGTTAACCGGTTTATGAATTGAGCGATTATGAACTTTGAATTATGTTAAGTGTTTAAATCGGAGAAGTATGAATATGACTATAGAATGAACGGATTTTTAAATCGGTCATGGCATGAATAGTGTTGTCCGGATTACTATTAAATTTACTTTAAGTATTAAATCGGATCAGATGAAGTGTTGTCCGGATTTGGTAAATCGATCAAGTCTTGACCGGAGATGAAATCCGGCCAAGATTAAATTGACCGGATTTGGACTTTGACTTGTGTAATGTTTATAAAAATTGTTATTTTTATCATAAAGTGGGAATTTTGATAAAGGTGATTTTGAACTGATAATATTCCATTGCCTGCGGTCTATTCTATATGGAATTGTTTTGTTTTGAAGGGGAAATAAGGGTGGCATATCAAGGAGAGGTGTACCATGGGATAAGGGTGGCATATCAAGGAGAGGTGTACCATGGGATAAGGGTGGCATATCAAGGAGAGGTGTACCATGGGATAAGGGTGGCATATCAAGGAGAGGTGTACATTTGGATATAAGGGTGACATTTGTATGTGTGTTATATAACTCTTACTATTATATCCTTTAAGATTACCGTGGTCTGGAATCTTTATTTCTTTGTGACTTAAGGGTTTAGGATCAGGGTCCTTATTGGAAATCATAGTCTGGATGTTATTGAGGAAGAGATAATAGGTTTGGCCTGAAACTTTGAATAAACCTTATTTGATTTGAAAGGTTTAAAAGTAGCATTATGATAACCTGGTTAGTGCAAACCTGTTTGAATTTGATGTATTGTTTGCAAGCAGAGAATTTGGTTTGAAAAGTGAAAGGTATTGGTATTATGCTTTTACTTGTTCATATATTTGTTATACATATGAAAAGTAGTTTTACATAAAAGTTTTGGTGATTATCACCCTGCAATAACATAAATAGGGTAACTCACTAGACCTTTCGGTCTAACCCTCGTTTTATGATTTTAAACATGTATTGCAGGAAGTGCAGATGGTAAGGGAAAAAGGAAAATGTGATAAATTCCTTATGTGTTTATCTGCATGAAGAATGGCTGATGATATGTATCGTTTTGGTAGATGAATCTTGATTAGTACAAGAATTGTATTTTGAAGTTTTGGACCATGTATTATGTAATGGTAGATTCTTGTACTAAGGGACCTATGTGGTGTACAAACATGTATTTCTTATGTATGAAGTGTGTGTTATATGCAATATGTGGAATGAGGTGTTACATATGGCTTGCCCTAAGATGAGCCTATACCCCTCACACATCATCCAGGGAATATACACTGAAAAACTCAACTTCTCAAGATTCAGATGAAAGGTGATGAAAACTCTAGAGGCTTATCTCAATCGTGCACAGGAGTATGCAGATCTAGCTACCATTGGCGAACCTGCCAAAGATAAAGATCTCATTATGATTGTAGTTTCTGGTCTCCATGAAGAATACAATGGTCTCAAATCTACTATCATCACACGTCAATTCCCGACTTCCTTCAATGAACTTCATGCCCTTCTCAGTGACCATGATTACATGCTTGGGAGAACTCGTGCCTCTACTCAATTTGTTTCTCAGGTTTTTTAGCTACAACTGGCAATTCTAGTTTGTCACAGCCTTCTGTCTATCGTCATCAACAACTTGCTGCTCAAATCAGTTCCACTGCGTCTACCCTTGGTTATCAGTTGATGCCTGTTGAAACTTTAGGGACTCCAGCTTTCTATGGTTCTTGTCAGCCCCACAACAACAACCGTGGTAATTGTCCTCGTGGAACTTCTCGTGGTAGCAGCCGTGAACGTGGTGATAGTCGCCAATTTAGCTGGGTATCTAATCAAAACACAATACACGAAACTTGTAACCGTGGTGATATTGGGCACCTCCCATCATAGTGTCCTAATCGTGATCTATCCACCATTCGTCCTAGGCAAACTGCTAACTTTACTAAAAGCCGTGACTCACCATCTGCTAAATCAACTTCATGGTTTCCTGAACAGAAGTGAACAATCATGTTACGCCTAATTTAGCATGCATGGATAACTCTGAAGCTTATCATGGTAGACGCTCTCCATGTTGGTAATGGTAAGGGACTCCCTATATTTCATATTGGCTCCTCAACCATTTACTCACCACACAAACCCTTTTGTCTATATAATATTCTTCACGTTCTAGAAATCACCAAAAATCTTCTTTCTATCCAAATTTTGTCTAGATAACAATGTTTTCTTTGAATTTCACTCAATTTTTTTTGTCATGAAGGACAAGTCTACATGCACCACCCTGCTTACGGGCCTCAGTGAGAAACGGTCATTACTCTGTTCGTCTACCCAACTCAAGTCTATCAATAAAATCGCTTTTGCTGCTGATCGTGCATTCCTACCATTTGGCATAGGCGGCTCAGTCATCCACATCAGCGTCTTTTTCATTTTATGCTTTCTAGATTTTCTATTCATGCTACAAATAAGACATTACCTTTTTGTATGTTCTGTCAAATGGGCAAATCATCAAAACATTCATTACCTATTTCTTCCTTTTGAAGTAATAAAATTTTAGATTTGGTTAAATGTGATGTCTAGGGTCTTGCACCTATTCTATCTTTTGAAGGTCATCATTACTTTATGCTATGCATGATCATCATTCTCGCTATATGTGGATCTACCGATTGGCTCAAAAGTTAGATGTCTTCAACGCATTCAAAGGTTTTCTTACCATGGTTGAAAGACAATTTATTACAAAAGTAAAAAATGTTCAAACTGATTGGGGGTGGTGAATTTCAAAATCTTTCTCTCTTCTTCTCACCCCTTGGCATTGTTCATCACCGTTCATGTC